AATAATAATACTTACTTACTTTACTTACTAGGGCCGAGCTAGAGCTCAAGCGGTTAGTCGCTGGCTTTGCACCGTGGCGGCCCGGGTTCGATCCCGGGGGTCTGGTCAAGTGGGATTTGTGGTGGACCAAGTGGCGCTGGGGTAGGTTTTCTCCTAGTACTTCGGTTTCCCCTGCCAATCTTCATTTCACCAACTGCTCCACAATCACCCTCACCTATCATCTGGGGCTGGTAAAATAGGCCAGAAGTGGCCCCAGTACAAGGGACTTAGTCCCACCCCACTAGCAATGAAAAAAATACTCATGGAGTGGGGGCACGCGGTAGCATAGTTGGTTGAGGCATTATGCTGCAAGCCGGAAGGTTGCGGGTTCAAATCCCGATGAGGTCATTGGATTTCTTTTTCTATTGACCTAATCCTTCCAGCCACACTATGACCCTGGGGTCGACTCAGCCTCTAACAGATGTGAGTACCAGGAATATTCGTGGGGCTAAAGGGCGGCCGGTACGTAAGGCTGACAACCTTGACGCCATCTATGAGCCGATTGTCTAGAAAATGTGGGAACTTCAACATCTCACAACCCTATGGGCCTCCACGGCCTCTTACAGGGATACCTTTACTTTACTTACTCATATCTCATCATATCATCAGATCCATTTTAATACTGTCCACCTACCTACGCCTTGGTTTTCCCGGTTGTCTCTTTCATTCTGGCTCGCCCACCGATATCCTATATGCATTCCTCGTCTCCCCCGTTCATGCTACATTCCCTGCTTATCTCATCCTCCTAGACTTGATCATTCTAATTATACTTTGGAGAAGAGTATAAGTTATGAAGCTCCTCATTATGCAGTTTTCTCCAACCACCTGTCATTTCATCTCTCTTCGGCCCAAATATTCTCAACACCCTGTTCTCAAACATTTTACATGTTTATATTAGCGTGGTGCCACGTCTAATAACAGGCGTGAAAGTAGTTCGGCCGTGGTCACGGCTCGTGTAAACAAAACAGCCGTGAATACCTAGGCGTGAACGCACGGCTGCCAGTCGCCACGGTTCTCTCAGCCAAGCGTGACAAATAACCAAACCGCGTTTGGCTTTTTCGCCTGAACACGCCGTATTTACAGGCCTGAGTGTCAATTCTGTGATGCATCCCGTGCTGGAACGTTACCGAAAGTTCGGGAAAAGAGTTAAAGGATGTGAACAAACTGTCGCTTAAATTATCGGAGAACAATACCATGCGGTTGATTCAGTTCTATCAAAGTGAACCGTGTTTGTACGCCGTGAATTCCGACGACTACAGAAATCATGACTTGCGAACTGCAGCAATCAAACGTATTGTTGCTGCATTATCAGTTGACGGCTTCGGTCCAAAAGAAGTTGCTTCCAAATTTAAGAATTTAAGGAATTCCTATTCGCAAGAGTTGAGGAAGATACAAGATTGCCAGAAATCAGGCGCGGAAGCCGATGATGTTTACGTTCCTAAGGTTTATTGGTTCCCTGCAATGGACTCATTTCTCCGCCTTCAAATGTACATCCGACCTTCAAAAAATAATATGGTGAGTATTTCCTTCATTAAAAGTAATAATCATTTAAAGTTATTTCATTAATTTTCTTTAAGTCCTGTGATTGTTTCCTTTTTTTTTTGTGATGGAGTGGGTTTTTAAGAATAAGGTCAAGGAGCTCAGCTGAAATCAATACCGCAATTTATTATTTTCAATACAAATTTTTAAATTTTTTTTTCGGTACAAAGCAACCATGAATGAGATGACAAGCGCTTTAATACAAGAAAAAACATAAATGCAGTCATCAAATCTGTAAATACAAGTACATATTAATATAACTCAACATTTGTGAACCATTGTTACAGTCAAATTAGATTAGATTAGTCCAACAGCTCGCCTTTGCCAACTCACAACACCCTCGCCCTTGAAGTACTGTCGGTACATATCCCGAATTTTTTTTCCCTGTGGCGCTACAGCCCCAATTTGGGTCTAGGCCTACCTCCATGAACTCCGTTCACTTCGGTTTTTCTAGATCTTACACATTCGGTAGGACTCCTTGGGCGAGTGATCAGCTCGTCGCAAGGCCTCTACCTGTAGACAAACACAGAAAACGCACACACACAAACTAAACATCAATGCCATGAGTGGGATTCGAACCCACGATCCCAACTTCCGAGCGAGCGAAGACAGTGCATGCCTTAGACCGCTCGGCTACCGTGACCGGCACATATCCCGAATAGGTTCTGCAAATGTACTAGCGTGTTGGTCTCTCGTCGCTTGAAGGTTATGAATGCAGTTTTGAACCTCCGTTCTCCATGATCCTTCCATTACGTTACCGTTTCCGTTCTCCCGATCAACGTCATTCGGAGTGAAGTACGTCGGATCCATTTTCTTAAGCCAGTTATGTAACGTACAGCATACTAAAAGAACATCGTCAACCGTATTCAAATTCTTGAGAGCAATAGGTTTCTTGAGGACTTGAAAACGACTCACTAAAATGCCAAAAGCATTTTCTGATACTCGACGCGCCCGGCTGAATCGGTAATTGCAGATCTCCTTATCTACTAGGTTACGTTTTTGGTACGGTTTCATTAAATAGGGCTTCGAAGGAAACGCATCGTCACCAACAAATACAGTATTAGGTGGTACAGTAATTGTATTGTTCTCAATTGCATTAGAAAGTGAACATCGGGACCAAAATCCTCCATCAGCATGCTTCGGGGGGGGTTGAAGGCAGAAGATAATGTAGAATAAAAAACGTCAATATCACATTGGTTCCGTTTCTTGCACCTGGAGGCCTACGGATATTCTAGGTGCTCTCATGAGAAGATAAACGAGATTATTAATCAGATTAAGTTATTGTCATATTTTGTGAGATACAACCNCCCCCCCGAAACATCTGGAACAGGTGCAAATTTTTATGCCAGCGTTTAATTAAAAAAGGGCTGAGGGATGATAAATTGTAATAATTTTTTTTTTTTGGTGATTGGCTTTGGTAAGTTTTCCTGTTGCGTATAGGATATTGGTGGGAAAACCGGAAAGAAAAAGACCGCTGGGAAGACCAAGGTGTAAGTGGGAGAACAATATCATAATGGATCTCAGAGAAATAGGATGGGATGGTGTGGATTGGATTGATCTGGCTCAGGATAGGGACCACTAGAGGGCTCTTGTGAACACGGTAATGAACCTTCGGGTTCCGTAAAATGCTGGGAAATTCTTGAGTAACTGCAGAATTGGCGGCTTCTCCGAAAGGGCTCAGCTCCATAAGTAACTAAGTACAACTTAATTTAATTCTTGAAAATATCCGCCACGTCTTTCGACCTACTAGAAGATTACAGTGTTCATGTCTGCACTAGATTATGACGTGATGTATGTGAGATAACTCAGTTGCGCGTTAGGTTATTTGTATTATTATACGAATATTTTTATAACTAGTAAAGAGCTATAGGGCCAGAATGATTGCATTAATTGCACAGTTACTCGTACCTAACAGGGGAATGAATGAATGAATGCAAAAGAAAGTGTTAGTATGAAATATGTTGTTCCTACCCGACACTATAAGCCTTCCTTCTTCATAGATTATCTGTCTATAATATTACGCCTGACTCTTCAGAGTTCCTTATCAATAACTACCTTACGCCGCTGATTGGAGGGGCGACAAGCCCTTTCCAAAATAAATTTTCTTTAACAGTCACTAAGCTACTGCTTAACGGTCTAATAAGATATTCGTATGTTGTACCTGTCTTCCCCGTCGCCGAGAATGTGGCTGCCGCCGCCCTCTCTAGGAGACAGAAGATGCCGCATGCCGCTCTATATTTCCATTAGCATACTCGTACTTCTTACGATTAACAATTTCTTCTTTCAGGTGGAAATATCACGCACTCCACTAGGCTCACGTAAGTGAAGTGAATACAGCCCTCCATATCGACACCGGAGAGAGTGAGTCACTACACATGAAATGTTTCTTACAGGTTAACAACAGGTTTTTGTAAAAACTGAGAATGATCGCTGGGTACCGCTACCTAAACTTTTCATTCACAAAAGTTTCGGATATATGCCACTGTCTTTCATCTTCGTGATCTATAGAACCAATGTATGCACCTAATGATATGTATTTTAACCTCTCCGTCCGAACTACTACGAACTGCGCTGATATGGTCAACACACTTTTCAATGCAGTGTGCAGAATTGGTTACAGACATTGACCGTACTCTCTGCAGACATTTCTTTATCAACGGGGAAATTCTTGTAACACGGGGAACTACGTAATTTCTGGAATGACAACGATGTCATTGCTAAAATATGTATCAAGTTGCTTCGCCAACCGCTCAAATTTAATCTTTGCGGGTTTTTTTTTCCTTCACGAATTAGGTCTTTTGCCCTGTTCCAATTCAGAATTAACTTCTAAACTTATGAATCTTTTGTACCGGGACAGGGAATCGGCCCATCGCAAGCCCTCTACTTACACTGGACACAAACACAGAAAATACGTCATACCGCGACTGAGATTCAAACACACGATAATATTGATTCTAGTATTCAACTCGCAGAACACAGCACGCGCCTTAGACCGGCGCAGCCAACGTGATTCGCAGTTTTAATACTTCCTCTATACAACGTCCATAAAATGTGTACTACAAGTTGTATTTGCAAATTATTTCAGTACGACAATTTTGTTCTAGGATTAAATAGCCTATAACAAATATGATTCCTGTATTAATATTATCATTTCTCCATTTTAATGGGCTGTTCCCTTAACATATCTTTAGGACAACGTAGTACAAGCCTCCTCGGTGATCCCTTAATGTTCCACCAGGTTGCATCTCAATCGTCAATGTTTATACAGCTGATTGTTTACGCATATTGTGTTTACGAAATTATGTAACGTGTATGAAAAAAAAAAAACTCGGGAGAGTTACGAAGAAAGTCGTGGTTAGTACAAGGTGGTAAAACCCATATGCCTAGTGAGTTCGGATAATAATAACAGCTTACATGTTATATACTTGTATTGTTTTATGCAGCACTTGTGACAGTTCTCGTTTTATTCTGCCGGAGACATCGTAATATTTACTCATTGCCACAGTCATAATCATTATGTAAAAATCTTGAATGATTCATAACTCCATACTGCAAAAAACTTTAATGATAATAATAATAATAATGATACATGGGAATATGCGGAACTGATCTTTCTGTACAAACATTTTCTCCTGTGTGCTACACCTATTATAGATTGCAGGTTTTCCATTGGCAGATATTTTAATTAATACATACGTGTTACAGCCAACTTTCAGCTGTGTTCTGTTATCATTATTTATGTTTATTATCGAGGTTTTTCCTGTTTCGCTCTTTGAAGAGGTGGTAAGCCATGTATTTGAAGAAAAGTGTATTATTTCTATTATCATCTTTCAGAAAGTGTTTTCTTGGATAATGTAATGATTTCTTGCATTTTAGCTTTAATATACGATTTCATCAAGACATAAAAGAACACAAGTAGGAGCTTTCAGCCTTCTGCACAGTGAATACAAACCTTTTCCAGTTCCACCTTTAGATCCTGTCAGTTTCATCACACCCACATCACTATCAGTCTGTACCTCATAATTCATATTGTAATATTTTGTGTATGTTCCTGTCTGAGTCAATAATTGTGCAGAAGTAAAATAATTATTTATTTTGAATGCTCTAAAGAACCGATTTACTTGCAGTATCATTATATCATGTCATTATAATGCCTTCTAATCATTTTATGTTACTCAGTTGATCAGTCCATCTGTTGACAAGGCATGTCTTAATTAATTATTCCTTCCTTCTCACATAAGTATATGATTTTAAACTTCATATAAACTTTGACTGTAACATAATAGAATATAGTAATGAGCTAAACTCTTCTGACAGACTCCAGTATAGCCAAAGTCTTTAAGTGAAATGGGCAGTTACATGTGTGGAAGGCAGAAAATTACAATAGTAGTAAACATGAAGCTGTTACATATGTATTATATAATTGTGTTTCATTTGTACAAGGCAAGTACAAGTCTGACTGTTGCAATCCACAACAGACATTGAGTACCTTCTGCCTCTAGGTGCCTGACATGCTGAGACAAATCCTGATTCACACAGTTGCGAGGAGAGCGGCCATAGTGACCTTGATTCAGAAAGGGGCAGTTAGAGGAATCTGTCATAGTCAGCCGTGCTGTAGTTCTGATGTAGAATTAACATCTGTTCGCTATCCAGGTGTTCAGCGTGGAAGTTATTCCCAGCTCAGTGACAAACATGTGCAACACTTTAAAAGTATTTTGCCCAAGGAGAGAGTCATAACAGATGAAGATGATATAGCAGCACACAATGTTGACTGGTTGGGAATGGTTCGAGGTTGGTGTGTGAGTAGTCTATATACTCTTCAGTGACTGCATCCTATTGTGTACCATATATTTCTTTTATTGAAAGCTATGACAACACAACAGTTAATAATATACCTATGTTTGTAGTATCAAGTAGTACTTTACTACATTCAGAATATTATAACCAGATCAAATAACACTCCAAAAATATTGTGGGAATTTGTTAATAGAGAAAGAGGCTCACCAAATAATACTCTAGTAATATACACTTACAAGATGGAAATGAAATAGTCTCAAGTCCAAGTAGAACATGTAACATATTTAACAAAATCTTCATAGAAACTGTAAATAAACTTATACTTGACAAAAATTTATTACATCCACAAACTAGTAATAGCAATATAAGCATAAAGATTCACTTGTTCTATTAGAAATAACAGAGACTGAATTGATTAAAGTAATTCAGGGCATGAAGAATAAAAAATCAGGACTTGATGACATCTCGCCATATCTGCTAAAAAAATGTACACCTTACATAATAAAGCCACTCTTAGAATTGGTCAATGCATCAATCAGAGAAGGCATCTTCCCTTCTAAACTAAAAAAATCAGTAGTCAAACCAATCTACAAAAACGGGATAAAAGATGATGCAAATAACTCTTGTCCAGTTACTCTTGTACCTGCCCTTTCAAAAGTTCTGGAAACAGTAATAGCTAACAAAATAATAGCATTTTTAGAAAAACACAACATACTTAATAAATCTCAATTTGGATTTAGGAAAAATAAATATACTAACGATGCAATTGCCACAATTATTGAAAACATAATAGAAAGTTTGAATGATAAAATAAAATGCAACTGTGTACTATTAGACTTATCAAAAGCCTTTGACTGTATTCAACATAACATTCTCATGGATAAATTATACAGATATGGAGTCCGTGGTATACCACATAAGCTAATCAAATCCTATCTCAGAAACAGAACTCAACACATAAAAGTAACACACACAGAAGGCAATCGTATGAAAGAATATTTGTCAAGTAGCCTCCCAGTGAGATACGGAGTCCCCCAGGGATCGGTCCTTGGCCCATTACTCTTCATCTGGTATATAAACGATATCCCACATCTAACACAAGGCAGAGCAATACTGTATGCTGATGACACATCAATACTGAATGTAGGACAAGATATGAATGAGCTCCAAAACACCACTTCAAATAATATAGGAGTGGTAGAACAATACTTTGAGACAAATAATTTATTTATAAATCCATCTAAAACTCACTATATTCTCTTCCAGACAAAACAATGCAGGCAGGAAAGTAATCTAAAAGTACTAATAAAGAACAGGGAAATATCAAATGTAAAAAGCAAAAATTTCCTGGGGATAGTAATAGATAGTACCTTGAGCTGGGAATTACATATTGAAAAAACCTGCAGTAGAATTAGCTGTAACCTTTCCATAATTAAACAGGCTATCTAAGTACTCGATTTAAATGAAAGAAGA